GCACATCTCGTATGCATTAGCTGTAACGCTGCACATTCCTTGCACGGATTTGAACCCAGCAGATGATCCTCCCTGTCCAGGGCAGAGTATCCTAATCCTAACCAGTGTCACCCAAAGGAATTTGATGCGCTTGCCCTAATGGAACAGGTTATTAGGTGGGAAAAACCAGCTATACTGGTAGCACACAGGTTCCATTTCGAATTGTTAGATAGCAGGCATTAACTCACTGCCTGCTGCAAACTGGCAGAACTCCACTGATCTGTGCACTGACAGCTAATGTATGCACTTGGAAATCTGATCTCAGACTCGACTGAGGCAATACCAGCTGGATGTGCTTGAGATCTGTCTGCTTCCTCCCCAGCACCCAGCCTCGAAATCTTTGAATCGGGGTTTTTTTGCTTAATTCCGTGAGAACTGGATGGCAGCCCATAGCTGAGCTCTGCCTTCCTGGAAATGGGAGCAGAAGCAGTGAAGGAGGATGGTGGGGTTTTTTTTGCACCTTGCTATGAAAGCTGCAGGATTTCCCACAAACGTGCCGGGTGAAGCTTTCAGTTCTTCCATCAAGACCTTTAAATCCCTCCCGATTCACCCTGCAGCCTCAGAGCCAGATTTTTTCAGGGGTGTTTAAGGATGGGAAGACCTGGTGAACTTTACCCCGTCTGCTGCTGGGATTCCCACCAGCTTTACCAGCACAGCAAAATGTTTTAATACCTTTGCACATCCAGACAGGATCAGTCCTCCTGTAGAAACCCTAGGAATGGGGAGCCCGCATCCCTCAGGGGCCTGTCCTAAATCTGCACAGAGATCTGAGTGTGATGCTCCTTTCAACCTGAGCACGAGCCACAGCTCCTGCATCGTTAGGAAATCCCATCTGAGATTTGTTTTCCTCCCAGAGGGCTGAGTTTGGGGGTGTGCTGGTGTCAGCAGGGCTCCAAGCACGATGGGGTTTATCGGAAGCTGTGTGCTTGCGTGGCCTCCTGTCATGGGGTGGGCAGGGAGAGAGGCAGAGGCGAAGCCAAGGGACCAACCCACAAGTGAGAGGAGATTAAGGGCTTGCAAACCAGCTAATCAATACCAGCCTGCCTATAATGAACATCTCTCCCCGCTGCTGCAGCTTCAGACAGTAAAAACCCACTGTAAGTGCAACGTATCTCCGTGCTTCCTGCCAGCTGGCTGCGAGCCAGCGTGTTTTCTTCAAAAAGAGGGATATTTATTTTCAGCCTTTTAGAGGCAGCCAATTCATCTCGGACCACCACCGGCTAAAAAAGCTTTAGAAATTAGCAGCTTTTTTTTTCTTTTCTTTTCTTTCTTTCTTTTCTTTTCTTTTTTTTTTAATTCTCCCCCTTAAATATTATTTTCCTTTCGTTGTTGGAGTCGGTGTAAATCCTCTGCGTTGCGACACACTGCCCTGCTCTCAAAGCTGGAGGAAGACAGTAGCAGCAGTGTCTCATGAAAGCCAGAGGAAACCAAAGCAGAGCCTCGCCGTGACTGATTCTCTTTCCAAATGGCGTAAGCAGGCCGACTTCAGGCATGTGAATAATGAGTTATCTGTGCTTGACTTTGTTAGGCAGCAGAAGAGATGGTCCCTGCGAACGTTTTCCTCTTTTCCTCTTAGCAGTCGGCTGGTGCTGCTGCTCACCGGGGCTCTGCAGAGCTCCCCATCCTCTTCTCCCATCCTTTGGTGGCTGTGGGACCCACCGTGTGCTTTTTGGCTGGGCATTTCCCATGGCCAGCCTTGAGCTGGAGGTGTGGGGGAGGGCTGGAGGGGCACTCACATCCTGCACTGTAGGTATGCAAAGATGAAACCACTGAGCCCTGTGCTGCGAGGGACAGCCCTGATGTTCCCATAACACAGGCGCTTCTCATGTGGCTCGTTCCCAAAGCTCATGCTGGGACTTGAGGCTCAGACTGGGAAAAAATTCAACCCTCTGTAAAGGATTGGCGCATCTCTCTGAAGTACCTCTTTTGAGGGCTTCGGGAGGGATGTGAAAGGTGTTTTGTGCACTGAGACGGAGTTTTATCCGCTGCTGATTGCTTTTTTCCAGTCCATTCTCGTGGACGTGTAGAGGCTGAGCTGCTAGGCTGAGTGGCTGCTCCTCGGTTGGGCTGCAGAGGAAGGAAGCAGGTGGATGCTGGTGGCCGTGCTGGGTCTTGCAGTGCAGGTGGCTGTGCTGCTGGGCACAGGGTGGGCTCTACAGCTGCTGGAGCTCAGCTGGAGCAACCACAGCACATCCCAGCTGAGGCGTTCTGCCCTGGCTATGCTACTGTCTCCTGGTTCTCATCTCCTCCTCAGCGGAGTAAAGGAAATGATCTGCAAATGCGTGTGTTAATGAACAGCCCCCACTCTGAGCTGCAATGCTCTGTGCTTCCTTTGCTCCAGCTTGTCGCCAGTGCTTCACAGCAAGACGCCCAGGGAGGGACAAGCCACTTCCCACCATCTGCTCCCCTTCCTCTGGTAGCACAGGGCTGCACTCTGCCCAGCCCCTGCCTCTCCTGGCCATGGCTCCATCTGCCCCCACATGTAGAGAAACCCAGGGATGAGCTCATCTGTACTGGGCCCAAACCAATTGAGCAGCACTGAGAGTTGGGTATCATTCACACTATGAAGTTCCTGGAGTCCCTTTTCTACTTTTGGTCAGCTTCGTATTTGCAGCTGGGGAAGCAGGGTGCTTGCTGGGCACTGCAGACATCCCTGCAGCCATGACAGGTTGCTCTGCTGGCAAAGAAGAGTCGGGTCTGTTTGGTGTTTGGAATCTTTCAGTGCAGAAGCATGCCTTTAAATCAGCTTTGAGGGCCTGAGCTTCGGTGCAGCGCTGGCTTTTTGCTGTCAGCTTTCCAAGAAAAAAACCCAAACTTCCAGGATGCACCCTATTACTGGCCTAAGTGTCACAGCTCTCCCAGCTGGGAGGTGTTTGATGGGATTGCTTGTTTGCTGGGCTGATGCAGATCTCGTTCTTACGCCAGGATTTGAGGTGGTCTGTCCAAATTTGCACGTCATCGCGCTGAGTATCAGCGTTAAATGATTCAGGGAGCTGAAGCCTCCTCTGACTGATTTCTTGGGTTGAGGTCTGACGCTGTTTGAAGTCAATTGAAAATCCACCCACTGACTTCAGGAGGCTTTGAGTCAGTCCCTGGGTTAAGCTCGAAACCACCTTCCTTTTCTCTAAGGTATGAGCTATTGTTCGTTTGACGGCGCTGGTTTCCTCTGCATGTCAGCTGTGGGCAGATGGGGAAGGGCTTTTAATGAAGCCAACCGCTGCAGAAATGAAAAAGCTCAGGTTGTTCTGATGAAAGAAACCCATTAATAGCAATTCTCTCTTGCGTGACAAAGTCTGACGTCCCCAGCTCTCAGTGACAAGCAGCAGGAAATGCTGGGGAGACAGCTTGTACCGAGCAGGGCTGGTAGTCCGTGGGGCTGCTGGTTTTTAACTCATTCGCTTCCTTTTTCTGTACAACACAGTGCTGTCCCAACTCAGCCCCATGGGTGGAGCTAGGCATGGCCAATATGCACTGGGGAGAGCCTGGGGAAGCTGGCCAGGGTCTGAGCCCCACTGCTGCTCCACCTCCTACAGCAACCCCAGCGTTTGCTTTGGCTTGCATCCACATCAGTTTTTCTACATTATTTTTATCAAGACAGTCTTAGGTTTGGGTTGTTGTTTTTTTTTTTATTGGTGATGGCTGAGCCTGCACACAAACCATCCTGTTCCAAGGGGCACTGCTATTTACTGGAGGCAGCACAGGGACTGCAGTGCAGCACAGCATGGCTGCACGAGGCCCTTGGTTCAGTCGTGCGGCTGAATAATACTTAACTGCATTAACAGCATCACTTGATTTACACTTCAGGGTTTTCTGTGTCACGTGCCAAATACTGCAGGATGGGATTTTGGCTGAGGTAGGGGCAGAGAATTACAATTCCATTGAATTTCTGTGCAGCTTGCTCTTCACAGTCCTTTTGGCTCCTCTGCTAAGCTGTGCCTGAGAAAAGTGCTAGAGGAAAAACTTATTTAAGCCTATTTTTCTTCTCGTGTGTGTTCAGATGAGATGTGGCCCAAGCAAGACACCTCGCTGCACACCCATCTCTTCCCTATATGCTCCTTATGTCTCCCAGGGCCCTCCAATAACATGGAGATGCCTGAGGTCTTGGGGCTCAGGGAGATTAGAAGAGATCTCTCATGGTGTGGATTCCAGGTTTCCTTGGTTTACTTCACACAGCAGGGAACAGAATACCACCAGGTTTTGCTTTCTGCTGAGAGCCCTTTTGGAGCACATCCTGCTCTGTGCCATCAGCACATTGGCACTGGGGCTGGAGCTGTGCATGGGAACAACGTGGGGACATCAGAGAGCAGGGCTGGAGCTGATGCTGGAGTCAAGACTCAGCTTCCCAGAAGCTCCACAAGCCTGGGAGCACATCCCAAGCCAATCAGAGGCAAGATGGGGAGATACCAGATGCCAGGCTGCGGGAGGGGAAAGTCTGGGGACCTTCTGTGACTTTGCTATGAGCTGACACCGTGCTCACGCCAAGCAGATGTGGGGCCCTTCAGCTTCGTGCGGGTGTAACTGAGGCTGGAATCCAGCCCAGGGAGAGCAGAGCCGTTCGGCAATGATTAATGTAGTAAAATGGGAAAGTTATGTATCAAGTGTATTTCATGCGCCTCTTGCCTCAGGCCTATTAGCATAAATTTAATAATTATTATTGCCCCGTTCCAGCAGCTGCTACCTAAGGAGCTGGGAGCGCTTTGCAAATGCTCGTTAGCTGCTGCTTTAGGGCTGGGAGAAGAGGAACCGAACGAAGCAAAGCGGTGCCATGGGCAGAGCTGGGCAGGGGCTGCAGTGGGACGAGGGACTGTCCTGGGTGCACTGAGGAAATGCTATAGAAAGCACTTACAACCAAGCATTTCCCTCACTGGTTCCCCAGCTGTCGTGGAGGCAGGGGGCTCCCGCTGTGCTCCACCCACCAAAGGGGAACGGGTTGGACACCATCCTCTCTTATCACCTTCCAGGGCACAGACAAAAGCTAGAAGACCAAACCAAACCCTTCGCCGACCGCTACGGGGAACTGGAGCGGCTGCGTCAGTCCATGAGGGTCACCCCCACAACACCCAGCCCCCGTGGATCCCTCAGCACCCCGAGCCACTTCGGGTCGCAGGCTCAGACTCCTATCCAAGGTAAGGCTGGCATGCATCTCCGAGGTTGGGGTTGGGGTGAGCAGATGGCTGCTGAGCTGCACGCTCCGGTGGTTTCACCCAGTAAAACCAAGCAGTTCCAGTTGGAATGCTGGGAGAGCAAAGCAACGTGCTTGGAATCCAGTCACTCCTTTGATATGGAGGCACTGTGCAGACGGTTAAGCATCAGCTATAAAGGGTGTATCGCACTTTACATGCTAATCCAAATGGTTTCTTATCTTGTTGAGCTGTGTTGATGCCAAGCCCAGCAATCCACCGCCTCGCTCCAGCCTCATTCCCCACATGTATGCACACCTGCATGGGCGCACGCGCAGCCTTTGCTCTTCCCATGAGTGCTATCAGTGGCACTGAGCCCTCGGGTGCTCCGTGTGTCTGCCTGGCAGCTGCCAGGAAAGAGGTTGGGACTGCAGCCTGCCCATTCTGTGAGCTGGAGCTTTTGTCCCCAAGGTGTAGGCGTTGCATGTGAAGCGATCTGGCTGCTTTGCTGCACTGCTCGGCACCGCTGTAATGAAGAGAGCTGTTCTCCCATCTGCACGGTACCCCCGTGTTCCTTCCCGTGCGTTTTTAATCGTGGCGTTGCTTTCTTTTGAGAATCAGCAGAAGCACAAACAGAGATCTGTGGGGTATTATTGAAGCGATGCGCGCTTTGAGTTTTGGTGTGAAATTGTCTCCCTTGGAAGGTTTGGGGCTGAAAGTCTCAAAAGCCCCAGTGCTGCGCTTTCAGAAGTGATGGACATGTTTGATGACCTCAGCTCTGTTGGCCAGGGGGTTGGCAGAGGCACCAGGATACGTTTGAAAATGTCACCTGAATTGTAAAAGCTGTCGCACTCCTTCCAACTCCAAATTACAATGAAAGTTTAATTTATTTCTCATTGAAATCAAATGTCTATGCTTGGAATTTCCAATGATAGCAGCGCGGTTTGCGAGAAGAACATTTTGTGTAGGATTATCATTTGATTTTTGTTTAAAAAAAGAGAGGCTGAGTTTTATAGGCTCATCTCATTGGCTGTACAATAGAGATTCTTTGGAGGAGGCTGGGGGGGGGAATAGTTTAAATTAGCACAGTCCCCTGTAGTGCCAGAAACCCAGAGAGCATCATTTGGAGCAAAGAATCAGGTGATGACACAAATGCAGAAAGACAAATGGAACGGGCCACGAGTCACCGCCTGGGCCAGATTCCCAAATGTCAGTGACAGCAGGAGTGGAGACGCACAGAATTAGCCCATCCCAAACGGTTCCTGCGGAGCCCATCCAAAGGACCAGGAATGCTGCAAAGCTGCGCTTCGTGCGCGCTCCGCTCTCAGCTCTGCTGCTTCCAAATCGGAGGAATTAAAAACCAGGAGCAGAATCGACTCAGTGATTTCAATCTCAGCCTTTTGACACAGCGCTAGCTATAACCAAGCAGAATAATAATCATTAAAAAAAAAAAAAAAAAACCCTCTTGCTCTCACACACACAGCTTATTCACAAAGATTGTAATTTTTACCCGAGCAAGTGGAGGCTGCCTC